AGTAAATATACTTTGCATTACAATTACAAATTTGACTTACGTTCTGGGTTCTTTTCTGAAAAGAGGATCGTATCTCACTCGAGGCGGATCAATCGAATGACATCGCCAGTCATATTTTTGAATGGAGTTTATTCCGTGATGAAAATATCTGCTTTTAAATTGAGAAGGAGATAGAAAATCGTGCAGTTGAAAGATATTTCCTTGCGTTTCATTCGAGAGCTAAACTTTCAAAGCATATACAAGGATATTAATATCAAATTGAGACTCTCTCCATGGTCCGCCGTGTTAAGGGTTAAGTAATTTAAATTCTAGATCAATAAAAGGAGCAATTTCTTATCTACTCTTTCCTCGGAAAATCACAGAGAATTAAATCAGAATTTTCTGTACTTCAAGTTACTTATTCTAAGTAAATCAATTTTTCTCTTTCTGAGAAAAGAATTGGAGTTAAAGAAGATTCGAGTACAAGTTCTTATTTTATCTTCCTTGAGGAATACGATTCGTCTACAGAGAAAGTGTTTTAATTAGATTTCATTTGTAAAGGATTGATATAATATACAGAATCGTGGTTTCATTTCGAAGCGAATCAATTAACATAAGAGTCGTGATGAGAAACGTCACCTGAGAAAACGACAGAGAGAATGAAAAAACTGCAGCGTTCGTTATCTAACTTTTATCTGATACTTTGCGCCAACATTTTATCTACCTGGAACGTTTGCATACGTATATAATTAATATCAGGTGTTCAAATTAATTAATACCTTTAATATTGTGTCTTTTTAATAATTATTTCAAATTTCAATATTTTCCCGCATTATTGTGTATTTGAAAAGTGGCGCGAAAACACGATTACTGAAAATAAATCTTAAATTAACAAAAAGAAAAGGCAGAGAATTAATTTATACACCTAAATGGTAGTAAAAAGAATCCTTGCGATTTTATCGTTAAAGATAATTCTTGGTTCTCCTTGCACCTGCGACTGGCAGATACAAGTTCGCCGCGTTCACTCGGTTGCCTACTCTTAAGGCGCGTTCGACTAACACAGTCGGTAATCACCGACCAAAAACCGACAGTAGAAAACGACCACTTTTGGACACACATTCAAACAGATTACAAGACATTACTTAGACAAATTGCATCTATTGTACGTTCAACACGTAGACGGCCTTCACAGATTTCAATGAATTCACGATTAAGCAGAGCCGGTTCACCGATATCATTGGTCTAGTTCCGATTGTGCCAGAGATAAAGCTTCGCATTCCATTCCTGGAATCAGAAAATCTGCTTTTGCGTATTCGACAGCATCTTTTTGTAAAAAATTTATCCTTTTAAATCTTTTTAAATCTCTTTGAAGTATTATGATACAATGCCCTTGCATTGTTAAAAAGAAATATTAGAAAAGGAAAGAATTTTCTTAGGAAAATAAATTTTAAAAACTTATCTGATATATTTTATCACGTGCGAATTACCACCTGTCTTCATCCCTTGGTTCTTCGTTAGGACTCCTAATTTTTCATATAAAAGAAAAAGAAACCATTAGTCGTACAAAAAACTTTATTCTATCAGATTCCAACTTTTACATTCTATTCTATATAATAGACTCTCGTTATATTGCCACATGGCATAGTTCACGAAAATGATTCACTTTTCTGTTTTTCCCTGTCCAACTGAAAATTTGGAAGCTTGAAAAATTTCCATCCCTTCAGCCTCGTCTGCAGCACTATAACGAGAGCCTACTGTACATACACTCCACTCGTATATTTTCCGCTATCTATGTTATTTACCATCGCAAATAGTTGAGGTTATTAAAAAAAAAGTGAAAAGCGCATCGACAGATAATAGCTCGGATGCAGGAAAATTCGTCATCGGCCCGATATTCCGTCACAGTTCACCGCGCTAATCAAATAATCTTAAGCTGCTATCAGTTGGGCTGCGCGTGCTCGTTTACAGATACTGTGTACAATCGCACTTTCGTTTAGCGAAATTAATATACCAGTTCGGGTGTGTCTCTTCGCTAACCTGCCTGTCTTAACAATAACCTATGGATCTTGTAGCTTCGATCGGTTGATTAGAGAATAACGTGTTTCGCAACGGCACTGGGACACGTGGGACCCGATGAATCTGTCCACAAGCTCCGACGGAATCGATCGAGCGGTTGCAATTAACTTCCTCGGTTATTCGAGTCTCGAGCTTCGTCCGGGTTTGACGAAAAGAAGTTGTCCGCGAAAGGTGAACCGAGAGAGACGTAGGAAGAATCGAAGGATTCCTCGATCAACCATCATTCTGATAATCTGATAGATCATGAATCCAATCTTAAATCGACGAGAAGATGCGAATATTCTTCTAACCCCTAATCAACAGTCTCGTCGGGTACTAGCTGAGGTATGAATTCTTTTCCTTCCTATTTATTACGTCCGCCTATGATTAGATAAGTCTTTCTGTAACAGCGGGAATGTATTCTTGATTATTTGTTAGTTTTATCACATCACCAGCTATGTGTATCTTTGAAGAAACTTTTGCAATTTAATTTTCCTGTAGTACCGGCAGGGTAGATTTTTAAGTGTCCGTCTCCCTGTGCGAAATTCTCCCAATTTTTCAATTGGGAGATTGGAAAATTAGAAAATTTTCCAGCTCTAAGGTGGTACATTCTTTATTACGCGATTTTGAAAATTAGATTTAGGGCACCCATGGATGTTCGCCACCCTGGGACCAAACTCGCCCTCTCGAAGGGTTTTATAGATATCGCAGTAAAAGAGTTATCGCGATAAATCTGAGACGGACTAGTCATCTGGATTTGGAGTGTAATTAATTAAAATTAGGACCACCTGTGCGATTAATCTCCTCCTGAAACTTTTAGTCTCACTTCGCCCCTGGGAATCTTATTAAAATTTTCTATTTGACGTTTGACATTAACACATAGAATAACGCACAATGTATACCACGGATAAGGAAGGCCATTCGAAATTCAATGACTCGTTAAGCAAAGGAAGACGCGTTAGATAAATTATGCAGCTTCTATGGAAATCATTCATTGAATGGTTTCACGCGATTAATATTTATGGGATATGTTTGTACGCAGGATTACTCGTACATGTCTATGACAAAACGTTGCATAACTTAACATCTCGCAAGGTAATGTAGATAATGCTTGATCACTATTAAATGTTTCGCCAGTAAAGCACCTTATCTCATGCCACTTCGGCCTGTTTGGTTTCGCGGTTAGCGAGGCCCAATCGAACTCCAACAATAATTGTTTAAACACCTTGCGACAATATTGGAATATTGCTTCTGTTCTGGTTAAATAAAAAAACAAAGAATAAATTCCAGTTGTGGACATTTGAATAACATCCGATTGTGTTTTTCTTTTTGGACGAAATTGGTTGATTTATGTCGATATTTCTGTTTATTTCGTATCGTATAATTTATTAGGTTTCTAGTATATTCGGAATCGACGAGAATGATTCCTTTTTGATTTCTTATTGTATCGATGATATAATTTTGTTTTAATCCTCGAATGAAATCAAGATTTCATTGAAGTGATGATAAGAAGTGGACCCTTGTTCTGATGGAGAGGTTTATAAATAAATGAAATTTCGTGGAAAATTCTTTGTAGACGGTTGTTTTAGGCTTATCTATATTTATGGAAACCAATGTTTTATAAGTATGCTCATCCAGTTCTCCTCTTTCTCCATGAATATCCCCATGAAGAATGACAATGTAGGTGGAAGAGACTCCGCATAGGAATCTGGGGACTCTATCAGAGCTTTACAGTCAGAATTTTAACAAAACAGTTTACGATATTGTTCAATAACGACTCCCACGACAAACTATCAATGCCATGCTAACGATGCAAAGTGGTAAACTGAAAAGATTAAATGATCATATCGTTACTAATCGTTATTACAGTATCCTGTACTACGCGCTATAACACAACAGATATTTTATACTTATCATTTATTGTAAAATTTTGAAATTTGTACCTGGCGCCCAGGGCAAGTGCCCGTTTGCTCGGTGATAGGAGCGGCTCTGTCTTTATCTGCACACCGCGGTTGTCAGCGTTTTAATTAAATATTTCTGGCTACCTAACGTGCACCCAATAGCAAGTTTTCATTATATTTACCGTGAAACAACAGCAATTAAAACGATTGTACAGTGTCTGATACGACGCGTCTATAGTCAGTAAAATTGGATTAGCGAGGATTTCAGCCACGATATTCTCGGAAGATCCTGTTTGCTCAGAGCATAGTATCACGATGCAAGCACGTTTCTTGCAATTACCACGCGCTGTATACCTTTCGACCAACACTTGTTGCACTTTATTTTTCATTAACAAATTCAGCGGCTGATAAAAAGTTCCCGATAAGCTGATGTTAAAGAGGGGAAACTCATCTCTATCGGTCGTGACATCTTATTTGCGCGATTTAATACGATCTTATGTTAGTTTTAATCCTGATCGTTCTCTTTGAAACAAAAAAGATACGTATTGTCTTTATGGACTTCTATCAACACGATTAATAGTGTTTTGCTGAATTTTTTTCACTAGGTGAATGAGTAATTTTTAACGAATCGAAGTAGAATTTTTATGACATTCGTCGGAGCAAGTTTTCTATTTGATATTTTTTACTGTGATTATTGGTACCATTTCGATACATTTACCAATACGCCTTTCTAATTACTATTTTAAATTTGAATAGTGGAGGGAAAATGTACTAACGATAAACATTTCTCTATTATTTTGAGTTATCGTGACATTTTTCAGTTAACGATAAAGGAAAGATACAGAATTAATTTATACATTTGATATTTGGAACACTGTTTTTTTTTCGCGTTAACACTTCCATGTTACATCTGACAATCTGTTAATAGTAATCTCAGAGGACATATTGCCTGAAATAATTTGCACTCGATGAAAATGGTAAATTCTGAATTTAGGGATCTACAACGAGACATGACAAATTCTCCCCCTATTTTTAGATTGGTCATCGATGATGCCTCGTGAGAAATCACTGTTTAAATAGTCAATGATCGTATTATTCCACACGATTCGCCCGTGAAAAGTTCCATTACATTAGCGATAGCCTTGCAACAGGTCGCGTAGTATCGTCATCATTCAGCTACCATTATCGTGCAACGTGAACTTTTCCCTGTTTTCACAGTTAACGTTACTATTCCCAGCACGTGTTTCAATGTCACGGTTATATCTTGTCAATTAAAAACGTCACAGTCCATTATCCTGTGACGATTAATTAGATTATCGATTACATCGAATCGATGAATTTCAGCTACATCTATGGAACTGGATTACATGGAGAAAACAGCTGATTAAGAGCAGTCCCGTTTTTACGACAAGCTAACCCTCCTTATCCGTTCCATAATCAATTTCTGAGAATATGTTCATTTCTTATCTGCCGATGACACATTAATCATGAATTAATCATTAAACGGAAGTCAATGTTAATACCTTATCAACGAATGGCACTGTTTCAAATGAATTTGATTAGCGTTACGAATAGCGTAAAGATACGTCAAATTAATATTAATTTTCAAATGATATTGCAACTCAGTCACTGTTGGATTAAGCGGAGGTCTAAGGATGTTATAGCCCTAGGCCCTGTTATGGTTTTTTTAAGACTAAATTGCAATTATCGATCAAAGGACCTTCGAAAGTATGATAGTTCTCGGCTTCAGAAATCTTAATCTGGGTCTGAACTCACCTGTGTGTACATATCTATACGTCTCTTATTCTTATATCGAAAAGTGTTGCCGTATCATTTCAACAGACCCAATTAACGAAAATGATTACAATTAATCAAAATCATCAAAACCAAATATTATCATGATTAAAAAAAACAAGAAATACATGCTGTTTGACACTTTTCGCGCATATTCATGTCACTGGGACAGACAAGCTTTTACGACCCCATCGCAGACTCAAGTCACGAAGTTCAAGTTCCCAAAAACTGAATCGCGCGATTCGAAAATCGACATTCGGGCGGAAAGAAAAGAAAAGGAAAAAAAAAAGAATAGTTCTGGGAACAATAGTAAAAAGACGGTGTGTCATTATCGCCTCGCTATCTCGATGGAGGTATTCGAAACATTGTGAATCTCGCGCAGAAGCAGTGGAGAGGCCGGGGCTATGCGCGAGAGCGCCAGTTCGTGATATCAGACGAAGGACGTAGGTGGTGGAGGAGCCGCGTCGAATCCATCGGATTTAGTTAATGTCCAGCGGTCCGTGGACGCGAATGTAACACCGGCTGTCGAGCCAGCCATGACAGAGAATTTTATACGCGTTTGAATTTATCGAACTTATCCTTCATCCTACATCCCATCATCCGACGGACCTCAAAGAGAGACCCGAAATCCTTGATCGATACAACTTTGTTTTTGCTCATACCACGTTTTTACCATTTTTTGTATTCTACGTAAAATCATTCGAAGGTGATTATCTTTCATTTTCACGATCGTTCGTTAAGAAGGTATCGATTTTTTTGGGGGGTGAAAATTTGATAACTCGCGTCAGCTGAACGTAACGGAACAGTTTGGAGAGTTCAAGTTAGGTGAACAGAGCGTAGTCACGAAAGCCACGTGGACTCGGCTAAACAATTTTGATCGCCGAGTTTCTATCGCGCGAATCACCGATCTTCAGGGGTTAGTGAACGATAACGTCACTTTATGCGACACGGTGAAGGCAGGATCTGCTTCGCGATCGAGAGACCCGTGTCTCTCGTTTATCGATTTACCAATCGACGTGATCGTCGTTCGTCTCCTTCAGGTAAGTCAATTTTCTTAATAGTATCTTCCTCTCTGCTTTTGGACGAGCTTTTCTCTTGGGGTAGAAGGTGATCGATGCGATCGAGAAGGATCGCGAGGCTCAAGAGTGAGATTTTAGGTAAAGTGGTTTGAAAATGAAGTTACCTTCTGAAATTAGGGGTAATTAATTGATCGATAGCCTATGTATGTTACCGAATCGTTAAGTGGAGGAAAATAGGATCTAGAGTGAAACTTTGGTCAAAGTGATTGGCAAATTGAGTTATCGTTTCAGATTGACAATCTATATGCATAATTGAAACGCTAAATGGGTGATTCCTCAATGAGACTTTGATTAAAATGTTCCAAAAATTAAGTTATCTTTTCAAATTAAGTAAAATTAATGACTTGATAACCTATGGGTGTTATTGAATTATTAATCGTGGGGATGTTCCATTTTTTATCAAATTAATTAATAAGAGTGATAGTAGTCCGAACACACTTTGTACCAACAGCCATTGGCGTAAGTAGGTAAAGTCCAGAATGGACCTGGCCCCCTCGCCACTCTAAAATTTCAAAGTTTCATTATCTCAAAATTCCAAATTACCACGACTCTAGAATTCCAAAATTGCAAAATTACAAAACTACGAATCCAAAATTTCTGAGAGATCTGACCCATCTTAGGCAAGTCTGAAAATCACCAATTAACGCGAAATAATTGAGCGATAGATTGGACACATTCGAATCGTATTGCCCTCATATTCTTATCACGATTAGCTTACAAAACATCGATTACGTTATACGAACAACCTTTAGTTGTCTCATAGCGTAAAGATCAACAAAACAAGCGTCGAATATTTTCATTGAATCTCGATAACTCTTTTAAAAATAACAACTTACTTCATTTTTTATTTAAAAAAAAACAAAATGTCGCTATCTGTAACTTGTTCTCAAAATTATATTATACGTTTAATTATCATCAAACGTGATTAATTTCATTCAATATTTATTCAACTGATTGGAATGTTTTTAATTTTTTAAATTTGCATTCATATCTGTATGGATTAATTTTTATTTGAATTATTTACTCGAATTTATCGAATTAATAATTAAAGATGAATAAGTTCGATGTTGTTGACGAAGGAGGAAGAATTTGGTGTTTCGATGTCCGCGTCGGATACACCGTAATCTTTGACCTTAAAACATCGAATTCCAGATGAAACTCGCGTCGGATCCGCGCCATCGACCTTCCATCGATTTTCTGTAAAGTATTTCCTTGTTTATTAGTCGGTGCGCAGCGCGTCGCAGCGCGGCGTTTCGAGCTTAAAAGCTTCCGACGTTTATAGGTTTTTAATCTTTGTACGCAGTTGTCTGACGCATACCTTTTGAGCCAATTAAATTATCAAAGTATTGAAACCGAGGCAAAAAACTGACGTATATTTATCTTATTTATTATTTTTTCCACTTATGCAGCTTCAATAATATTAGTTAATTAGTCTGAGCAACTAATTGCTTATTTGGTCTTCTTAAACGTGCTTCTTCTTGTATATTTTTAACAAGATGGTCCAAATGCATATTTTACCTTACCAGGGTTATTATTCACTTCAAGTACAATTTTATTGAATTTCTATTACAGATGATACCAATTTTAATTGACCCAAAGTATTTTTAATACTTTAACATTTATAAAATTATTTTTCTCAATTTACCTCTCATACATATTTTTCTTTTGACTTAGAAATATCGACCAAGCAACGCTTCTGTGGTATTCATAGCAATCCTCCCCGAGTAATATAATATTCTATCATGTTACATCTTCCATTCGTAGAACCTCGCCCTTATTTCCGGGTTACCTTTCATCTTTCCAACAAACTATTGTAATATGTTTATTAAAACTACAGACTTTATCTGACCACTGAAGCTATTGTTAAAATTTTGAAACTAGAACACGCAGTAATTATCTAACTTCTATTACCACTTGCTTTACATTGTTTTGTATTAATTTCTACCAACTTTATTATTCGCGCTTTTAATTTTAAAATAAATTGAAATGAACCCTTATTAAACAATTTTAACCCAATTAATAGTTTAAATATTTTATTCAAGGGGCGATTATATGTTAACCCTCGGATGGCGGACCATGGAGAGAGCGCCAATTTTAATTCCGCGTTTGATTGATATCATGATAAGCAATTAGCGAAGTCAAAGCAACCTGGTTAGAACAATAAAACGATTGATGAGATGTCAAAACCGACGATTGTCTTTAAAGCCTTTCGAATACTTTGATGACAGAAGGCTCAACAAAATGAAAAGTATCTGTCGGTGACAGTTGAATATCGAGAGGATTTTACGCTTTGATTTTCACAAATGCACGATTTTCAATTATCCATGATTCTTCGGTGATCAATAATCGATGATTATATAATCGTTTCGCGAACGTGCTGATACATTTTTCCAAACACGTAGAGAAAAACTTATTCGTACGCCTATCGGAGATACAATCGCGATATTTATAAATAATTCAGTGATTATTCACCTATAAAGATGTTATTTCTAATGATCTCTTTGAATACCGCTCGCGAAATTAAATGAGCCGTATTATTGTAACGTGCTTTTTCATTTTCTTTTCAAATACCTGGAATTTTAATGACTTTATCAAAGGCGTACTGCTTTCTACAATAATAAACAGCAACGCGAAACCTCTTTCATCTCTATTTATTCGATGGAAATTCTGTCTCCTGTAATAGTAAAAACTCAAAAATTTCATTACCGTCAGAAGATGGTTTCTGCAAGCTCCAGGGATTCGTTAAATTACTTTTTTATATACAAATTATTAAAAGTTGTACGCTTCAATTTACACGTAATTCAAATCCAAGAAGATATCAAGGGCTTTTGATTAAAAAATGAAATTAACAAATAAGGCTCAATCTGGTCTTCCTCTTTTTTGATTATCTATTCACCAACTAGAGAAGCATTGCTAAAAAAAGCTGCAACTTGTCCGAAACACTCGACCGGGTACTCTTTTTTTCCACTCGTTAAGCTGGTAATTGGTTGTCCAAGTAACGAAGCTCCAAGAGGAAAGCTCGCCACTAATTGGTACTCAAAACCAAAGCTACCTCATTAAGATTTATCCTGGATCGATATCAACGCAGCAGCGTCTAATCGAAGTATCTCCCTGTTCTTTGACCTTTTTCAGGGGATCAAAAGAAACGAAGAACAACCGAAGAGAATATTGCGAAAGGGTTTGAAGTGGTAGTCGGTGGGGTTAGCATTGAAAGTATTAAATAATTAATTCGAGTCAATCGCTTCAGCGTTCGCTGAGCTTTTCTTATAAATTATGGATCAAGGACAAGACACGAAAATGGTGAAAAGCACGGCTGACTACGCAAAGGCCATAGAAAGTGGCGTTCAACCGAATCAGGTGACTAAAACTTGCCGGTGGATGAAGTCTTGCCTGTGAATTTATCATTTAATTCCTCTGTACATATTATCCCTCGAATATATCAATAAATTAATTAGAAATAAACCGACTTTTGTGTGCGCAATCTGAATTTTCAAACAGGGCTAGGTTCAAAATTTCTTCAAAGATCAAAAATGATTTTAGTGGAATTTTAATTTAGAAATAATTCAGAATTTAACTGATTTAGGTAGCAGAAAATTTGAATTTGAGAAAACTCATATATCGGAGAATTTAAAATTGAAATTAACTAATTTTACAATTATTTTATTTCAGGTCCTCGAGACGAAGGTTTACAAGCGACGATGGCTGATCCTAATAATCTTCGTACTGTACAGTTCCAGCAACGCTATGCATTGGATCCAGTACAGTATCATAGCAAATATCATAATGGCGTATTACAGCGTGTCCAGTTTCTCAGTGGACATGACCAGTATGATATACATGATCACGTACATTCCTTTCATCTTCCCAGCTAGCTATCTGCTCGACAGATTCGTAAGTACAATAAACTGTTGTCGTGAAATTATCAATCGATAAGAAGAGAACAATTGTAGATATATTTTTCTCTCTATACTTTTCTCGAATTTGATTCAGCGAAGCGAAGCGTCTAGAGAAATCGGTGTAATTAATTATGCGTTGGTAGCTGATTTAATCTAAGGGTAAACAGATGGGACCAGATTGTCTTTTAATCTAATCTGTTTTATCCTGAGACATTCAGATCATATTTTTCGTCCTCGAAGGTTGTTGATAAGTTAATCCAGCAAAAATAAATGCATTTATCTCATTCAATTACTCAATAATTTGTTTACTTCTACTGAACGCAAATTTGTACTTATCGATTTCAGGGTCTAAGGTTTACTGCAATAGCAGGAGCAACTGGTACAGTACTTGGATCCTGGATCAAAGTGTGCAGCGTTAATCCAAATTATTTTTGGATGACTTTCGTCGGGCAATTTGTGGTCGCGTTAAGTCAAACCTTCATCCTATCAGTTCCAGCACGTTTGGCTGCTGTTTGGTTTGGTCCGGATCAAGTGAGCAGTGCATGCAGCATCGGTGTTTTCGGGAATCAGGTCAGTCAGAATTTCACCGTATATTTCTTTCCTAATTAAAGCTTTTGCCAAAAAAATTTGTCTGTAAATGCATTGTTAGCTTAACCCTCAGATGGCGGACCATGGAGAGAGCCCTAATATTGTAATATTGTACCCTATATTATTGCCATTTTCTACAAATTATTCTTTCAATATATAAAATTCTTTCGTTTAAAAATTATACATTTAACTTTGAGTTAATATCCTTGAATTTGTTTTGTAAGTTTGGATCTCAATTGAATCAAACTCCGACTGTTCAATAGTTAAGCGAGTGTCATTCACTCGAAGAACGAGTTAACTCGTCTTCCGTAGCGATGATAGGTTAACAAATTTCAGTCTCGTAATGGATCTCGAGTGTACACTACCTGTCTGGTACACCGGTAGAATTCTAATTCGATGGACAGGGTCGTTGGTGAATTAAGCCGTGATTAGGTGGGAAACATAGTCGAACCGAGCACCCACGATTCATTTCAGGATACCAACAGGGGACCCGGGTCCCTATCCAGCAAATTAAACGAGTGTATTTCAATAGTGAACCGTCGCGATACACCCCTTGTTCATTGAATAATTCAAGGTGCTTTAAAACGATTGTTTTAAAGCAAGCAAGATTCTAACAAGCAAAGGAAATAGATTATTTATAAATATATATAATTCAACCCCTTTCTCTCGAATCTCTAACCGGCATACGTTTCTCTACGATCAATTGTTAAATCAATTGTTTCTAAATTTAACTCTTTTCTTTTGTTTACTTTCGTTTCCAGTACACAATGCATCCCTCTTTAGTTCTGTTATTTTTTCTTCCTAATTGGATCGTTTGAACATTCGAGAATTTATCAGATCTTTCCGTCTCTTAAAATTGTATCACGATTCTTACTTCCGTGTCGTTAAGGTTTTTATCCCAAAAATTTGTCTCTAAATGCGTTTTTCGGTTCACCCTTGGATAACGGACCATGGAGAGAGCCCCAATGTAATTTTAACCCTTTGCACTCGGATGGTCCCCTCTTGGGAGACAGTGCCACTGCGAAGAAAATAAATCGTGATATTACAAATAAATAGGGAACATTATTCTGTCGCAACCGGAGCTATCATTAATAAAACGTAGGCGATAAAAGTGTGCATACGATACTTAAAGTGCAATGCTGAAAATTACAAAATTGAACGATTGGATTGACCTTGTCGACGATGGTGTTCTCGTAACACCATAGAAGCCTGTCACGCTTCTCTGAAGCTTCGCAATAGCGGAACTCTCACCGGAATCGTCCGTGATGAGCTGAAAAGAATAATGATCTCTTACTTCCTTGAAATTATAATAATGAACGTTCAGCGTCTTATCCAAACGATACTGATTCCATTGCGAATTCCCGATGTTTACACAGATTTATGACCGAAAAACATTCACGATTCTTTCATGGAACTAACAAAAATTCAAATTAAATTGCAGCTGGGAATAGCCATGGGCTTTCTGTTTCCACCGATGCTGGTCCCAAACAGCGTCGATCACAATGTGATTGGACGTGGCTTGCAAATCATGTTCTACATTGTGGCTATTTTTGCCACGACCATTTTAATCCTTATACTTATATGTAAGTACACTCTTAATCCATTTAAAATCAAATTTTTATTTACTTGGTGTATTCGTGAACTTTGTTTCAGTTTTCAAAGCTGAACCACCTATGCCTCCTAGTCCAGCCCAGGCAGTGCAGAGAGAAACAGAATCTACAGGAACCTTCTTGGAATCTGTTAAAAAGCTAGTCACTAACGTTGGTTACTTGTTGCTGTTGTTCAGCTATGGTATCAATATTGGAGTTTTCTATGCCATTAGCACTCTTCTCAATCAGATAGTGCTTGAACATTTCCCAGTGAGCACTTAGATTCTTTCAATTTAAAACTTAATTCATCCTTATTCAATTGATTGTTAATGAATATGTGGGATATTTTCAGCATCATGAAAAAGATGCTGGAAGGATTGGTTTAACTATAATTTGTGCTGGAATGTTGGGCTCTGTGGTGTGTGGTATTGTTTTGGATAAAGCACACAAATTCAAGTGAGTGAATCTTACTATGGAATCTTTTATATCCTCAAAATTAGATCATTGAATGTTTTTTATACTTTCACAGGGAGACAACATTGGGAGTATATCTTTTTTCTTTCCTTGGAATGATTATATTCACGTTCACTCTAGACAGTGGTCGAATATACGTCACTTACATAACAGCTGGCCTGTTGGGGTAAGTTTAAAAGATTCCTTTAGGAAATATATCTAGAAACATTTATTCAGCTGTATTCAGTAGTCACTTCCTTGTACAATACATTATAATTTTATCTTGAGGGAATTTGTGAATCAATTTTTCACATATTAAATTCAATCTTCGTTTAGATTCTTCATGACTGGTTATTTACCAGTGGGCTTCGAATTCGCTGCGGAGTTGACATACCCGGAACCGGAAGGAACGTCCGCTGGTTTACTAAACGCAGTTTGTCAAGTGTTTGGTATCACCTTCACGAGCCTCTACGGTTGCGCCCTGAACGCTTGGGGTAATTTCTGGGCGAATATTGGCCTTTGCATCACGCTCGCCGTCGGTTGCTTCATCACAACCATCATTCCTAATGATCTTCGAAGGCAGAAAGCCAAGTTTTAAGCGTCGTTCTTCCGTTTATGATCCGACATACAAATTAAGAAGAATCATCTCTTTGTAGTCTCCGCAAAAGACCTTCTGAGTGGAAGGATAAGTAAATTGCAAAAGGTAAAAAGAAAGGTGAACCATTAAATTCAAGATAATTAGATTACTAATGGAAAGAATATTTTCTGAGAAAGTCCGATGAGTTCTTTTGGACTTCGTAGCCATTTTTTTCGTTGCTATTATAGTGAAGATTCGTTCATGTCGTGTTCGTGTCGCGACTCGTGTAGAATAGTTAGATAAGTAGATAACGTTGGGCATGGTTCGAGATCTGAATTTCAGTTGGAATATTCCACGAGGCTACTATATTTTCGAATGATACTTCCACTAGGAATCATTAAATCTCTGACGTCACAGAACGTATCGTTATTAAATCATTCAAACTGTAATGAGTCTGCAACATTGTGGAAGGTTTCCATAGCGTTCAGATATCACCTGTACATTCCAGTGTCGCGTTTAGAGCGCAGAAAAATAGAACACTAAGGAAATTTAAGGTTTTAAGGCTAAGAAAATTTCGTTCCAGTATTCATGTAGTCAAAGGATTCAGAGAAGAAGCGAAACATCTGTAGTCACTTGTTTCCTGTAAATATCAGTATTATAGTCTCCTTAGACCCTGATGATTTATTTAGCAAATTGTCCAACACAGGAACGCGTTTAGACACTGCTTTTACACTCTAAGGACTCGAACAATGCGACTCCAGATAAAAGGACCTCAGGTTCTCGAAGTTGCCGTTAAGAATGAAAGTCAGTCTGCGATGAAGAAGTCAGAATGCGCTTAGAATAGTCTTAGGAATAGTCTTTTACGAGCGCCAAGATGCGACAGAAACGGTGATATCGACAATAATAATACTTTTAGCGGTTAGAACCTCTCCAAGATGCTGTGCATCCGTTTAACTGATTCTCGTTACCTGTACGTGTTGTAAATTCTAGATGATAATCTTTCCTGTCCGATCTTCAGCGAATGAAATGATGCTCAGAGAGCTGAAGATTATGGTGCTCAATGAGTACAAGCCTAAGAAACGATTATGCTTCCTTGTTAGTTTAATTTATCATAAATTTCATGAAAGATTTAAACGAGTATTGTAAGGATAGATAGAGGAAGAATGTTTAAAATTTATCTTTGTGGATTTTATTCGTTCAAACTGATAGATACAAAGATTGTTGTTTGTGATATTTAAAACCAACGCCATAATCTCGAAGTTCGTGTCGCTTTTACTGTAAACGAGCGGCACTATCTCAATGGTCTTTCAATAAAATAAGATTGTATAAAGGAAAATTGAAGAAAACTATATTTTGATGAAGAATTTGTAGCAATTTGGCGATTCAGGAATGCGTGAGATAGGCAAAGCATTAAATTTACGAGCTAAGGATAAAGGCAGTACTGGATTAAAAATTGAAATATATTTTTTAGATAAAATTAAATAACATTTAATCGTAAAGAAAACGGGCAAGAGTCCAGAGAAATTTCATTCGACAATGGAAGGCTTATAACGGGGCCGCCCTGGAAAGTGGGGCTCGATAGAAATTAGGGAAGAGTAATTTAGTAAAGCTGTTGAACGCAGAAAATAGACCTTTCATTCGTTTTTATTAAAATCTATTAGTTCTACATGTGAAACTGTTTCTGAGAACACAGGCAATAATTGTTCACTTTGAATATTTTACAACGAACGATTGCGTTAATGAAACGATAATATCATTTCTACCTACAAAATGAGTATTAATGAACAATGTGGATATTTGAAATTATTGATATACGTACATACTATTTTTATAGCAACTACCATTTAAATATCTAAGCGAATTAATATGATTCCGTTATTCTCCTAGATCATTGCAAGCTTCCAAAGAAAAGTTTTAGCGCGGTTAGTCAATAAGAAGGGAGACGGGATGCAATCTGAGCTACAATGTTGAATGTTTTAAAAATGTAGATATATAAATTATAAAATGAACGTGTATGTTACGCCGAAAGCGATATATTTCCATATACAATGTTAAAGCATATCTTTCGAAACCATATCGAAAATTTTAAATGTCGTTGAACCATGTTGTACGAAATAATGAAAGTCTAGTTTTATGAAAACGATAGTTACCATTTTTCGATGTAACGTAAAGACAATATATAAACTGTTAACCCTCGTTAAATTTACATTGTAAAATAATCTGTTAAAAAGATTTAACAGATAAATTAATTAAAACTTGAATACATAACTTTAATTTCGACGGAATAATTGCATTAAGAATTCAAAATGGAAAGGAAAAATATAGCAGATTATTTTACAATGATGTGTAATTAAGTTTGCTGTATCAGCAATATTTTTTTATTGAAACGTAAACACGCTGAAATTTCTTCTATTTTGTTAAAGAGAAATTATAAGTAACTCTGCAATTTCTCCTTTATTCTGTCCTTTTATTGTTCAAGCAGTACATAGTTTTTTACTTCGACATCGATCGATACATTTTTGTAATAATTTACACATGAAAAGGAGAGGATAAAGCTAAAATTAAGAAGTCATTTTTGTGATGTGTATTCTTCAGTGACGCGTTTACGTTCATCTTGTAAATAAATAAATTTTCTCCATCGGACCCGGAGACTCAACTTTGCGCAAAAATCCATTTAACGTGTGGTCAACAGAAAAAAAGTATCTGTGATTGTTGACAATATCCGCTGTTTCATTAACGTCTGAACGTATAAAACAATAAAAATCTTTGAAGATTATAAAGACAAACACTCGAGATTGTCTCTATACTGTATATTATTATTAGCGTATAATCTTCTGAAAAAGGATAAAGAAATCAATACATTGATAAATATTGATGTTTATTACATTATTACCATTAACAAATGAAAATTAAACCAAACTCAAATACACTTAAGTAATTTGTTGCTATCTCCTTAAGTATTGATTTCTTTCTTTATCAAAATATTAAATAACTTTATATGAATTATCCTAATTCTTCCTATTCTAACATAAGGTAATATTATGTAATTATTCTAAATTCAATGCATATCTATTGCAATCACTTTCATGGATCTTTTAAGTTTTGTAAAATACGTGTGCTCTTTCATGTATTCCTCTAGTATGAGACTTCATTTTCCTAGATCACTTCTTGAGGGCTCTTTTCTAACGTGAATATTAGGAATACATAATGCGAAAAGAGGTGTACACACCCTCCTTCACTTTCATGTGTTTCTAATGTCAAGAGACATTCTACTAGCAGGAGGACATGCCTGCGAAAGAGGTGTGCTTCACCTCTTTTGCTCTCGTATGTTTCTGATACTTAAGTTGCTTTGGTACCCGAAGTCCAGGAACTAGAACCAACTGGCTGTAACCTCTTTAATTGTCATCTTCTTGACCGACAGCGGAGGTCAGCCCTGGTGCCAGACATGACTTCCAATCAATGACTTCAAAGGTGCCGCCGGGAGTGTCGCCTCTTGTTATTGTCGTTATTATTAGAAAATTTGAATTTAATACAGAAACATGATTAATAAGTATATTTCAACATTTTCAGACAATCAAGTTTTAATACATGTACTTTTGTATGTGTGGTATATATGATGTGTGTTAAATTTGTTTTTTCCTTTTTCGTTTGTTTATTTTCTAATGCAGCAAAATTGTTTTATATCCTTTTTACATTATAAAAAATTTTGTATCAACTGAAAAATTTGTTGAATGATCATAATGAAAAAATTACAAATACTTCGTGTTGATAATGACCTAGTGCAAAAAATTGATCTACAAATAGGTAATAATATTATTGGCCGGAGTGTTGTACCTGGAGTAAGTAGATATCATTACTACATCGAATTGCATTAAAGAAAAAAGTAACAAGTATAATATTAATGCAATTTGCTTACAAAGTAGTTGTTTGGTTTGAAATATATGGTTTCACGCATGCGCTAAAGAAGACACATCATCTAAACGTTTTGTTGTGTATTCTTATTGCGTCAATCGACAGATTTTTACGTTGTTAGGATTTGAGAATATTGAATAAACGTGTACATTTTTTAATACTCTAATTTTAGTGCGACGATAATGGAGCTATCAAGCACGCTGTTACAATATATGTAACATCTGATAATGAAATGACAATAACGCCGGTGAGACAAACGTACATTTTACAATACAAATTTTATACAGATCTGGTGTAATATACGAGTAGTATTCTATAGGATCTATTTTCCAGCATCAGATTTCACCATGTTACATGAAATCTGTTGAATCTTCACAGTGGAAACTTCTTAAACTGGGTATTACTGTTCCAATAAAACCAGGAGATATTTGTTCTTTGATACCTGACAAGTGTTGGTTTAAAGTTTTATTAGTACCTGACAATATGGATACATTGAAACGAAAAGTACTAAACTGATATCTTGAATGATAATGCAATTTAATTTAATATTTTTTAATGATCAAATTATAGGTTAATGATGCTATAGATTACAACATGTCTGGTAAAAAGTGTTGTTCAAAATCAGGAGAAGGAGATAATTTAGGAACTCCCTGTGATATATTAAATGAAATTATAACTGAGAATAACAATAATGATATAAATAAAGCAAAACCTGATGACACTGATTCAAAAGATGATAATTTGTCAAATCCTAAAGATATCACAAGTACGACAGAAGAGAAATCTGAGGAAGTTTATGGTGCAAGGTTATGTATTTATATCCAGTTCATTATTCACAGTAACACCCCGATAATAGACGCAAAAGGGCGTTTACTATCGGGGCACTACTGTAATTATAAAATGATTATAGATTATTTCACAACTTTCTTTGTATTTTTACACAACAGTTCTAAGGATAAAGGTAAAGAGTATGATTCAAGTGATAAATTAACATCTGAACCTCAAAATACAGATCAATCTTGTAAAAAAGAGGAAGATGTTAATAACTTACAAACTGAAAGTAAAGCAGAAACAAATATTCCTACAAGTGAGATAATTCAAAATATTTAATATCAATTAAAGTTTTCCTTTTATAAGTGAAATATTGAAATATCTGTAATAAGTCCAGTCAAAATATCTTATTCATTTCAGATGAATCAAATGTTTCTACTACTACTACAACAGTAAATACTCCCAGAAGGGAGAAATGCAAATATGGCGAAAAATGCTACAGGTAATTTTGTTTTTCCTTTTACTATTATAGTTGCTAGAAAGAGATTTTATGATCATAGAAAAAATCCACAACACAAGGCTGAATACAGTCACCCCGAGGATGCAGATTACAATATTCCTGACAATAGAGAAGAATGCCCTTATGGATCGCGATGTTATCGTAAAAATCCTCAACATAAAATGCAATTTAAACATACTAGTAGAAAGACTAGAAATGAATGTTCTAAACAGCGTCGAAAACGAAGTCCGACAACAGTCTTTTCAGACACTTTATCAGATTTCGAGGATTCTTCCGAAGAAGAATCTGTTGACGAATCTGAGTATGAACCTTCTAGCGACTTAGAAAGTTTTGACGATGATGAAGTATATTCCGATAATAATCGGAGCGAAAACGATTGATTAAGGAAGATAAATATTTGAATACTTTAAGATTTTTCGGTATTTTTAAATTATTTATGTAGTTGTAGCTTATATATGGCGAAATGTATATTAATGTATAATAAATATTTTTATATTGACCTATAAAAAATTATGTAACAGAAAGAAGAATTTAAAAATATATTTTACGAAGGTCTTTTCATGATATTGAAGTACAAAAAATTCAAATCATTTATTTTAACAAAAAAACATAAGGATTTTGTTAGGTAAACAAAACTACTTATTAGATATTTATAGCTAGTTTTAAGTTCACTGTTTATATTAATTTTTTATACGTTCACAGATGATTAATAAGCCTGATATCCTTCGTCGCTTTCCGCATATTCCTCAGTAGCTACGTCCACAAGTATGTGTTTTGGTATTTCTGAACCTCTTACTTTAATGGTATAACAAACATTTTCCATTTTGTGGAGGCTTTGTTTGAGGGTACAAAGTTTCCTGTTCATTTCTTTATTGGATGCATTTGTACAACCAAGGAAACCTGTATATATGTTTCTTACAAAATTACATGTTTGATAACAACTTGCTATGTCCCCTGTTGCCAAATTGTTAATACATTTACGCATGAGCTCTCCAGTTAAATCTGCAACTGCTAAGATGAATTCATATGGAGTGATTAAAGCACGTATAGTTCTGTCTTTGGATTTATCTGTAATTGTGTACGTAAGATTTTTGTCCAGTTCTAACCAATTTTCCATGCTAGCACACTGCAAATATTGATAAAATGTAACAGCTTCTATGTATTCTTCCAGACCACTACGATAAGCTCTAAAATACTGATAGGCATCTTGATCTTCTAATTCAAGGGCAATAATACTGAACAGATTTTGCGCCACATTTTTCAGTCTTAATTCAGCTTCATGTAGTATACTTTCTTGTTTGCTCTTTTTATCGATGGTATGTAAAAGACAAATTATTCTTTTACTTTCAATAGTGATGTCTCTACCAACTTTTAAAATCCTCTCAAACCGATCGTGTCTCTCGACTAATTCGGCTGAGTAAGCTTGAAATTGTTGTACAATCAAACTGTTTTCGTTTATGTTTTCGACAATTTCTTTCCCCTTGTCACCAATGTTGATCTTCTTATTGCAGTGATGTCCACGATTTTTTTTGTTCCCTTTATCCATAAAATGAAAAAGTCAATACTTTAATATTTTCTTAAATTGGCCTGTTCGGAATGAATACAATTATTCACATTCACTATCTTTCTTACATTAGTTTATTTTGATAAGATACTTTAAGTGCCGATTCGGCGGATCGTCACATGGATTTGACGTACACAATGTGTCGTATTAAAAACAAGTGACTTGTAAGTAAAATTAATCGTACGGAATATGCTTAATTATGCTTTCATTAATATACCTTTGGATTGAGACATAGCGATTAACGGTCCACTATTAGGATGCTGTTAGCTTGTCAATTCTAATGTTTATGTATACTGCAATTCACGAAAGAACGTAAATATTTTTCCGCGCAGCTCGACTGATAATGAGTTTCGGCAAGTTTGTGTGCATCTAATGCAGTGCTGCAGCGAGAGCATGGCGAAAAAGGTGCCCGCCACGGGCACAACTGGGTTTCTGGCGCAAAAATCGTACCTCCGTTCTTCTGTTGGACAAGAGTGATTAACAAACATGTCTATAATATCAACTGAAAAAAATTACCAATGCTAAACAGTTTTATGTTTTTATTATATTATTTTAACATATACCTCTGTTTTGTATTTCTTTTATTTTGTCATCATTGAATGTGAATAAAAATTTGTTCTTATTTACGTTATAGATTATTTATTCATACAGACACCTTGACAAATACATTAATGTATATACAGGCAACTCATTATGATGAGGTTAATAATATTTATAATATTGCATTTAATAAAATTTGGCGCAAGTTAGACACTTCCCACAGGCGCTTCATACCCTCGTTACGGCACTGAGAGAGTCACCGGTGCTTCGGGGTCCTTAACACCCCATATGACATTAGGTCTGTTTGCAGAGAACACTACCGATGCATCGGGGTCCTTGACACCCCAGATGCCATCATGTCGGTATGCAAAGACGGCCGCCGGTGCTTCGGGGTCCCTAACACCCCGGTTACCATAATGTCGGTATGCAAAGAGTGTCGCTAGTTCTTCGGGGTCCTTAACACCCCGGATACCACAATGTCGATATGCAAAGAGCGTCGCCGGTGCATCGGGGTCCTCAACACCCCAACATGATGTCAAGCCGGTATACAGAGAGTGTCCTCGATACTTCGGGGTCCTTAACACCCCGGATGCCATAATGTCTGTTTGTATAGAGCCCTACCGACGCATCGGGGTTCCTGACACCCCAGATGCCATTATGCCGGTATGCAAAGAGGGTCACTGGTGCATCGGGGTCCTCAACACCCCAAGATGATGTCAAGTCGGTATATAGAGAGCGTCGTCGATACTTCGGGGTCCCTAACACCCCAGAGGCCATCATGTCGGCATGCAAAGAGTGTCGCTGATGCTTCGGGGTCCTTAACACCCCAAGATGACGTCAGGTCGGTATACAAAGTGCGTCACCGATACTTCGGGGTCCCTAACACCCCAAGATGATACCAGGCCGGTATCCAGAGGGCGTTCTGCGCGACGGGGTCTCTAATACCCCGGAATGAAATCAGGTCCGTATGAAGAGGGCACCCAGTATAATAATCGTCCCCTAATTTCTTTCCGGAGTTTATTTATATATTTATTTTCTTTGCTTATTAAATAAGATCATCGAAATGGAATAACATTTATGATTGTATCCATATTCTGGGCCTCGGCCAACGACCCGTTGTTTTTCACTTTTCCCAGTTATTTATATAATTTTATCCCTGTTTATAGGCCAAGGCCAACCCTTTCAGTTATTAATTATTTTATCCTTTTGCCGAGGAGTGCGGATTTATCTGTTAAACATACATGTACCCTTATTATGTTTTCTGCGTTTATGTAATTTGCAGTATTTACCTTCTTAGCTTATTGAATAAACTGATTAGAAGGATGAACGTGTTGATTTTATTACCCCTATTATTTTATCCTTTTATTTATTATTTTACCCTTATTTGCGGGCCTCGCAGGGTTGAAGCCTATATCCTTGCATCCCTAATATCTTTGCATTTCTTACATCTTGGCATCCTTTACTTCCTTGCATTCTTTAGATCCTTGCATCACTTACATCTTTGCATCCCTTACATCTCTGCATCCCTTGCATCTCAGCATCCTTTACCTCCTTACATCCTTTACATCTCTCTAGCCTTTATCTCCTTGCATCCCTTACATCCCTGTAACACGCACTGCATTGTGCCCCCTAGGAACTAAAGATTGCCGAAATTTTGGCCCTCTAGCGGGAAAAATTTGAACTAAAATTTCGACGTCGAATCAGCGCCATCTGGTTTCAGAAAAAGGAACTAAAGCTTGCCGAAATTTTGGCCCTCTAGCGGGGAAATTGTGAACTAAAATCTCGACGTCGAATCAGCGCCATCTGGTTTCAAAAAAAGGAACTAAAGCTTGCCAAAATTTTAGCCCTCTAGCGGGAAAAATGTGAACTAAAATCTCGACGTCGAATCAGCGCCATCTGGTTTCAAAAAAAGGAACTAAACCTTGCCGAAATTTTGGCCCTCTAGCGGGAAAAATTTGAACTAAAATTTCGACGTCGAATCAGCGCCCTCTGGCGGCAAAAAAAGGAACTAAATTCAGCACGATTTTTCAATGTCTGGTGAGGTATATAAGGGAAGCAAGGATGTATGTGGAATACATAGGGATACATGGATGTAAAGGGTGTAGAGATATAACTGTTGCAGGAATGTAAGTAATGCACGAATATAAAGAAACCAGGGATGTGAGGAATACAGAGTTGTAAGGGGTGCAGGGATGTATGTGGAATACATAGGAATACATGGATGTAAAGGATGGAGAGATATAAGGGTTGCAGGGATGTAAGTAATGCAGAAATATAAAAGAATGAGGGATGTGAGGAATACAGAGTTGTAAGCGGTATAGGGATGTATGTGGAATACATAGGAATACATGGATGTAAAGGATGGAGAGATATGAGGGATGCAGGGATGTAAGTAATGCAGGAATATAAAGAAAGCAGGGATGTGAGGAATGCAGAGTTGTAAGGGTTGCAGGGATATAAAGAAGGCTGGAATGTAAGGAATGTAGGAATGAAAGCGATGCAGAGATGTAAGGGACGCAGGAATATAAAGAAAGCAGAAATATAAGGAATACATGGGTGTAGAGAATGGCGTAATATAAGGGTTGCGGAGGTGTAAATATATATATATTTTTTTTAAATACAGCAAATTAAATGAACGCAGAAAATAGAATGAAGGTATATGTATGTTTAACAGATAGAACTGCGTCCCTCGGCGGTCGCTACAAGACTGAGGGAGTTTCACCTTGCTCTACGGTTGACAACGGTGCCCTATCAGCTATGGCGTTCCCTTTTGTCGCAGCAGTCAGCTACCGGTGATCGAATCAGTGGCTGTAAATATTTTTTTTTTTTTTTTTTTAACGTGGGGAAATCTTACATAAGACCCCCCACCGTCCCCTGGGGGTGGGCGGCGGGGGAGTGTCAGATTCCTACTGACTAAAACCCCACGGCGACCGACACTGGCGCTAAAGGTGAGATGCAGGACCTTATGTGTATTACTCCGGAGTTCTCCACGCCTGGCACATTGGTGCCCACCTGGAGTACCTAGCATGTGGCCGACACCGGGGGTCGCACCCGGTGCCGGCTTTTACTTGGGCCGCGTGCAAAAGCGTCTGGAGCCCCCACTCCCAACGCCAGAGGCCCTGACGGCCCCACCTGTTCTGGTGGTAAAGCTGTCATATCTAGTGTTGAAAGAAGGGCACAAATTCAAAAGCCCTTGATAACAACGACGTGTCTAGTCTTTGAAATAAGAGAACACTAGCGTTACCTGTTGAGAATTACCTGAAGCTGGTTATCGACTTACCGACTATCCCCGATGGTCGGTAAGTTGTTGAGTAGTTTCCGTCGTTTCTGTATAGAGGGCGCTGGCGACGAATAAAAAAATGTTTTAATTTACGGCGTCCTTTTTAAAATATAGGTTTGTGAATACAAGTTTGTTAAACAGTTATTTCTAAAAATTATGTCTACGTCGAATTTCCTGTGCCTTATGTCTAAAATATATTTCCCGAATGACTGGCCACCTATTTGTTGTATTGGTTACAAAAATAAACTAGATCCATTGAAAAATTGAATCTAATACATAAGATATTGGTTTCGAATCGCTGAAAACATGTCATCGATAGCCTTTTCTTTTTCGGGTCATTGTCCGATACAGAGTTATCCAAATATTCCGAAATCTTTCGAACGATTCGCGGTTTGCGGTTGCACCAGTCCGAGATCTATTTCTGAATAGGATGTATTTATAACTAACCTTACCTTTGGTGGACCGATGTACGTGCCGGCACTCACGTAAATGGTATTTTGCGACCGTCTCCAACCTCTTTCCGAATCCGATAATTCAGCAGGGCTTTATACAACGAATAAAGTGTATTTTCCGTAGCTGCTAGGTAACCAGAACGAGATATATCGTCGTTCGAGAACGTCTTCGTAATGGGTATAGCTACTTAGCATGCCAACAACTTTAATCCTTTCGGCGGCGTTGAATCAAAGAACATTTACCTACGTTACACCAATGAATCCATGTAATAACGTTCTTCCGGTTTATCGCGTACATTCACCTCATTTATTTTATTAGTCGTTCTAACAAAACTCTTACAGTACTTTATTTATTTTCTTCTATTTTCTAAGTATCTTCCTTTGGAAAATCCTTACTCCTACTATCGATTAACCCCGTAGTTTTACACGAGTCTAAATAGTAAACGTAACCGCTTCGACCAATCATACGTCGGGATTGAAAGTACGTGTAAGCTATGGTGGGATTGGACTAATCAGATTCCGTTATTCTCATGGGACTTCTTGTGATCGGTGAACAATACATATGTTCAGTTTTCAGTAACGAGTGAGGAACTAAAATCATATTGGCTCACGAATCGAATCTGTCGCGCCAACAGAAAATTAGAATCGGCGGAACATTTTTCCATCGACCGGAAGCGGCAATCCTGCGAAACAAATGGTACCGTTTGCCAAATGTTCCCCGGATAACCTCGGAAAAGCGGGATAAATAACCAGACAGCCTGTAGACCGTGCCGTTTACTCGTTTATATTTGGATACCGATGCATTCTTCGATTCCCCTCGACATTGTATCGCTTTTCGAGTCTGGTCATCCAATTTCTATGTTCTGCAAGCTTTTACCAAACTACATACGTAACACGACTCCCCGGAACTTTGTAATAATTACAATAAATATGATACAAGGAAAAGGTGCGGTGGATAGTCCATAGCAGGGGTCAGCAAACTTTTTGAGAAACGGACAGGATTGAAATTTTTAAAAACATCTTATTGAAATCCTATTAGAATATTAATTTACATTGCACGTGTAAAGTTTATATTGGAAAATGTATATTAAAATGTACCAAA